TGAATTTACTTGTGGGCAAGGCTTGTGGTACCTGTGAGATACAGGAGATGAGAGGCCAAACAGGCACTTGAAGAGATGGCAGTGTGACAGTCAGTGGAATTCTGGGCACAAATGCAGCTACCAGTCTAGGGAGTGAGAGGCTTAGATGGGGTCCTCAGGGCTCAGCTTCCTGAGTAGCTGGGATTACAGGTGCATGCAACTATGCCTGGCTATTTTTTTGTACTTTCAGTAGAGAGGGGGTTTCACTGTGTTAGCCAGGATGGTCTTGATCTCCTAATCTTTTGATCTGCCCACCTCGGCCTCCCAAAGTGCTAGGATTACAGGCATGAGCCACCGCACCCGCCAAGACTCTTTTTTTTTTTTTTTTTTTTTGAGACAGAGTCTTGCTCTTTTGCCAGGCTGGAGTGCAGTGGCACCATCTTGGCTTACTCTGCCTCCCAGGTTCAAGCGATTCTCGTTCCTCAGCCTTCCCAGTAGCTGGGATTACAGGCACCTGCCACCATCCCCAGCTAATTTTGTATTTTTAGTAGAGACAGGGTTTCTCCATGTTGGTCAGGCTGGTTTTGAACTCCCGCTCGGCCTCCCAAAGTGTTGGGATTACAGGCGTGAAACACTGTACCTAGCCAGGACGCTTACATTTTAAGGGTCAGATTGAGAAGAAACCAGCAAAAGTGACCAAGGCACAGTCAGAGAGGTAAGAAGGACACCCAGAAATGTGTAGTGCTATGCACACACATTTGGTCTAAGGCAAATTTCAGTGAAGTAGCAGTCAGATTTTAAGTATAGAATATCACTCAGTAGTTCCAAGTTTTTATAATTCTCCTTTTTATTAGGAAATCATGTATCAACATTCCTTGGGGAAAAAAACCTCTCTTTTTTTGTTTTTAGAAATAAGGTCTCACGCTGTCACCCAGGCTGGAGTGCAATGGTACAATCACGGCTCACTACAGCCTCCAACTCCTGGGCTCAGAGGATCCTCTCACTTCAGCCTCCTGAGTAGCTAGGACTACAGGTGTGTGTTACCTGGCTAATTAAAAAAATTTTTTTTTATGGCCTAGAGTCTCATTCTGTTGCCCAGACTGAAGTGTAGTAGTGTGATCTCAGCTCACTGCAACCTCTACCTTCTGAGTTCAAGTGATTCGCATGTGTCAGCCTCCTGAGTAGCTGGGATGACAGGTGTGTGCCATCATGCTTGGCTAATTTTTGTATTTTTAGTAGAGATGGATTCTTGTCATGTTGGCCAGGCTGGTCTCAAACTCCAGGCCTCAAGTGATCCATTCACCTCGATCTCTCAAATTGCTGGGACTACAGGCATAAACCATTGTGCCTGGCCCTAATTTTAAAAATTTCCATAGCGACGGAATCTTGTTATGTTACTCAGGCTGGTCTCAAACTCTTGGGCTTAAGCAATCTTCCTGCCTTGGCCTCCCAAAGTGTTGGGATTACAAATGTGAACCACTGTGCCTGGCTCTATTTTTGTTCTTTTTTGAGACAGGGTCTCACACTGTCACCCAGGCTGGAGTGCAGTGGTGTGTTCATGGCTCACTGCAGCATTGACCACCCAGGTTCAGGTGATCTTCCCATCTCAGCCTCCTGAGTAGCTGATATTACAAGTGTGCACCACCATGTGCAGTTAATTTTTAAATTTTTGTAGAGATAGGGTTTTGCCATGTTGCCCAGCATGGTCTTGAACTCCTACACTCAAGGCATCTGCCCACCTTGAGGCTTATGCATTTTATACAATTAATTATTATAATTACAATGGATGCATAATTTTGATTTTTTTATTTTAAAGTAGAAGGAATTTGTGATTTCATAATTACCATTTTGATGGCTGTATAATGTTCCATTCAATGATATTTTAGAGGTTTGTGGGAGGATAAGGCTAATTCTGTAATGACAAAAGGAAGAAAAGAAACCACTACAGGACAATAAACTCTTTCATAAGACTCATCTTCCTTTACCATGGCAGGATCATTGTAGTTAAGCAAGCACATGAGCAAATGAGCCTATTGATCATTTTGTCTTTTTGAAGTTTAAATACAGACAAACCAATTTCAATATGTTGCTTCTTGTCTACAATTTTTTTTTTTTGAGATGGAGTTTCACTCTTGTTGCCCAGGCTGTAGCGCAATGGCACAATCTCAGCTTACTGAAACCTCCACCTCTCGGGTTCAGGCGATTCTCCTGCCTCAGCCTCTTGAGTAGGAGTAGCTGGGATTACAGGCATGCACCATCATGCCCGACTAATTTTATATCTGCAGTAGAGACAGGTTTTCTCCATTTTGGTCAGGCTGGTCTCAAACTCCTGACCTCAAGTGATCCGTCTGCCTCGGCCTCCCAAAGTGCTGGGATTACAGGTGTGAGCCACTATGCCCAGCCTCTTGTCTACAATTTTGTATAATCACGTTTCAACCTTGGTGAGAAAATAGGAAAATTTAAATTACATCTCGATAAGAGCAGGGTTAAAGTAGAGAGATAGATGTTCATTTTGTTGATCTTTGAAATACAAGGACTCTCTTTGTAGATAAGCAAGCAAACTAAAAACCAATACATCACCTTGATGCATTGTTTTCTTTGAATCTTGAACAACAGATAATGAAGCCAAGGGTAGGCATAAATGATACTTTTATTCACTGCCATTAAATCTTAAAAACAGACTGAAGAGCTTTAAGGTATCCAAGCAAGTTTTTCTTTCCTTTTTAGCATTCTTTAATAATTTTATAGTTTTATTAAAAAAATTTTTTTTTGAGACAGGGTCTTACTCTGTCTCCCAAGCTGTAGTACAGTGGCATGATCTCAGCTCACTGCAACTTTTGCCTTCCTGGCTCAAGCAATCCTTCTACTTCATGAATATCCTTTAGTACAAAGGGGGCTGAAATGGTTAATTACCTGCTTTAATTGAAGTGCTCTCATGTGTTTAAATTTAAGCCCTAAACTGATGAGAGAGGTAAGCTGTCAAATAAGATGAAAAAGAGGAATATTCTAGAACTGTAGGTCTGAGTTTCTGTAGGAAACATAACTAGAAGCAAAAGGCGAAATGGCTCCATCAGATCTCATGACTGAGCCAACGACATTTTTAAGCTCTCTGATCTAGTGAAATCAGTTGATTTAATGAAATCTAGTAAGATCTGCTGAAATCAGTTATTTAGCTCAGGCAGGCTAAAAGCCTCTTGCCGCCAACAAAGATGCCTCTAGTTTGCTGATATCCAAATCAATTGATCAGGAAGCTAAGGACACTGGGGCTGCAGGACTCCCTTTGAATTAATTCAGTAAATATGTACTAAGGTTCCTACTTTGTGCAATATAAAATACCACATTCGGCTTCCATGACATCCTTATTTATTCACTTTTTGAGACAGAGTCTCAAATATATATATATACATATATATATATCTAATTAGCCAGGTGTGGTGACACGCACCTGTAGTCCTAGCTACTCAGGAGGCTGAAGTGAGAGGATCCTCTCAGCCCAGGAGTTTGAGGCTGTAGTAAGCCCAGGCTGCAGTGCGTGGAGCAATCTCAGTTCACTGTGGCCTTCAACTCCCAGGTTTCAAGTGATTCTTGTGCCTGAGTCTCCTGAGTAGCTGGGATTATAGGCATGCACCACCATGCCTGTTTTGTATCTTTAGTAGAGGCAAAATTACACAGTAGTAATTTTGTATTTTTAGTTTCGCCATGTTGGCCAGGTTGCTCTCCAACGCCTGACCTCAAGTGATCTGCCTCGGCCTCCCCAAGTGATGGGATTACATCCTTATTTAAAGGCGCATCTTCTCTATCCATTGTTTTCAGACCAGACTTGGCTCTTTGCATGGATCCTGTTGGCAGTTTCCTGTATGCCCTATCCAGTGAGAAGCTTTTTGTCCTCACTCCAGGTTGTAGGGGGCAGATAGTGATGTCAGATCTATCCAGAGCACCAGTCAACTTAAGGCAGGTTCCTGGCCTAAGGGGTTGGATGCTTTCTCTGTGGAGGGGTAGAGGGGAGGAGAAAGGAGAAGGGATGGTAAGAAGAGATGTGGGTCTCTGAATCACATGGAGACTGTGGAAGTGCTGACCACCTTCTACACACCGCATTCTTATATGATCCTTGGTTAATAATCATAACAACAGTATGAAGCACATGGTATTGTTTAACTGCATTTTACAGATAAGGAGACTGGCTAGTGACCTACCTAAGGTCACAGAGTAAGTGGTGGACCTGGCATTTGAATTTCCTCTCCAAGTCTTTAAAAGCCTTCCACCACCACGCACAGGGACCCAGTAGGATTTCACGTCCAGAGTGAATCATACCGTGCCCTCCACTCTCACATTTTTACACGACGAAATCTGTCTAGCATGTACAACTAATAAAAATAGTAGAGGGAGAAGACGTCATGAGTAGGCAGTTTATAGCCAGAGAGGTGGGAGTACAGGTTTTGGGCCCACCATTTTTTTTTGCCTTGATGAGGAGCCCTTTAGGTCGTTTTAGTACTAGTGTCACTGCCTGCCTTCCTGAGTCTTTGCCACAACAAAGACTTGTTTCCTCCACTAGACAAAAATATGGATGGCTGACCCAGTTCTGTCTCAAACAATGATCATAAGACTCAAATAAGGCCATCTGTAAACTATAGCACTTTACAAACTGGTAAGGTAGTAGCCATATTTCCAGAGTATCAGGGAACAGCGAAGCAGCTGATTAAAATAAAGTCTTGATTATTTGAGATACAGGAGGGTAGAAGTAACATGTGGTAACTGAACTCTATAGATACTATCTAAAATCGCATTCTAACAGGCAAGTTTAATCTTTCTTAGATTTGCCTTTTCCTAGAGCTTTAAAAAATAAGAAAGCAGAGGGGTGTAAAATGCCAGTAAGATTAAATTTCTTCTCCTTTTGAGCCCTGCCCATAGGTAGATAGAATTAGGGCAGGACAAAAAGATTAAGAATAAAAGCCCGAAGGAGAGGACCGTACATGTGAATACACAGTGAATACTGGGGTAAGGAAATGAGTTATGCGGAAAAGGCTTCAGATCATCCCTGTGGACTGCTCCGGGTCTGGACGTTCCCTTTGTCAACCTTCCAGAGTCTGAGTCCCCAGGGCTCCCCACGGCGGGAAGGAAAAGGCGCGCGTGGCTAGGCGCGCGCGTACACGGGCACTCACGTGTACACACACACGCGCGCACATTACACATACACACACGGCCCGTTTCCTCTGCTCCCTCCCCGTGGGGGGCGGGTCTCTTTCTCTTTAAAGAGCAGACCGTCTCCTCGCACACCCAGGCTCTCAAGGCCTCCGGGGCCCGGGACCCGAGGTGCTCGCAGCCAATGGGAATGGTGGAGCGGCTCGAGCGCGGCTGACGCTGCACCAATGGGCGCTCGCAGGGGGCGGGGGCAGCCGAGGAGACACTATTGTTGATGAGGAGCGGCGGCGGTGGCGGCGGCGGCTGCACCACCTCGTTGCTGCCGGTCCCGGCCTCGGCCCAGTCGCCCCCCGCACCTCGGAGTCCGGCTTCGTCACCCCGTCGCGGGGGCCTGCCCTGCGGCCTCGAGAATCCTACCCCTGCAGCCCAACAACAAAACCCCCCGTCTCGCCCAGTCACCGGGGAGGGGGGGACCATGTCCCAGCGGGTGAGGCGCAATGGGTCCCCCACGCCGGCCGGCTCCCTTGGGGGTGGTGCGGTCGCCACGGCCGGGGGACCCGGGAGCCGCTTGCAGCCCATGAGGGCGACGGTTCCGTTCCAGCTGAAGCAGCAGCAGCAGCAACATGGCAGCCCCACGCGGAGCAGCGGCGGCGGCGGCGGCGGCGGCAACAACAACGGTGGTTGCTGTGGTGGCGCCTCAGGCCCCGCAGGCGGCGGCGGCGGCAGCGGCGGCGGCCCGCGCACCGCCTCGCGCAGTACTAGCCCCACGCGCGGCGGCGGGAACGCGGCCGCGCGCACCAGCCCCACGGTGGCCACGCAGACGGGCGCGTCCGCGACGTCCACGCGAGGCACCAGCCCCACGCGCGGCGCTGCGCCCGGGGCTCGCGGGAGCCCCCCACGGCCGCCGCCGCCGCCGCCGTTGCTTGGTACGGTGTCGTCGCCCAGCTCGTCGCCCACCCACCTGTGGACCAGCGAGGTGAGCGCGGCCCCACCCCCAGCCCGCGTCCGGCATCGGAGGAGGTCTCCGGAGCAGAGCCGAAGCTCGCCGGAGAAGAGGAGCCCCAGCGCCCCGGTTTGCAAAGCAGGTAAGTGCTGGGGGTCGCGCAGCGAGGGGGAGGCGGCGGCGGGAAGGGGTCCCGGGCGCGCGCTGCCATCGCGCGGGGACTGCAGCGCTGCCGCGGAGCCCGGGTGGCTGGGGGCGGGGCTGGGGGCGGTGCCGGGCGGTGGGGATCGGGCAGTGTGGCCCTGCCTTTCCCGGGCCTGCCTTGTGTCCCGTTTGCCCGCCTCATTCATCCCTCTGTCCGCCCCGCGCGGCTCCTTGGTGGTGGAGGTGCAGCCGCTAAACCTTGGGCTTGGGCTGATGAGTGTTAATGATAAACCTGGCGTCCTGGCCTTCTGCTTGTTACTGCTCACGCTCCCTTGAGGGTGAGGCTAGGAGTGGTTTGTCATTTTGTTTTAGGGACAAGGTTAATGTTGACATAGCCCATGTCTGCTGCTTCTAAATATTTCTGTTCACAAAACAGTCTCAGATCTGGGATACTGAATGCATTAGCAGTGGCAGATTTGAATCACTGAACAGACGAGGCTGAGACACCCGTGTTTGAGCATTTCCAAGACTTGATAAATGGGTAGCAAGAAGTGAGAATTAAGCAAGATTCCTTAGGAAGGTTTATGGGTTTTGTCTGAGGCTCTGGGTGTATTTCTGATTTTGTGTACTGATTCTGTGTTTCGAACGTAAAAAAACAGAATACAGTGTTTGTCTCCATCTTGTTATTGTTTTAGGGAGCTAACATCCGTTGTTTTTCTGTTTACCTGGAAGCTTTCTCAGGAAAAGTCTTGAATGGAGCTGTTGGGTGCCCATGGAGTCATTCATAAAGAGTAACTCAAAAGAGAAATTCAGATTGGGGGAAATGGAAAGGGATAAAATTTATCATCTTGTTGCCTTGAGAAAAGAAAGGGGTGGTTTTTAGTTATATATTCATTTTTGTCAACATATATCTTTGTCTTTCCCTGTCTGGGGAACTTCTGTTAGAATCTTCCAGGCAGAATGGTTGGGAATTTGAGGAAATGAATTCAGATGAAATAGTTTCCAAAATGGAAAGAGTAGAATGACTCTTTCTATTTATTTTATGAAAGGTTTTAGATAATACTATTCTGGAGAGAATTTCCCTGGAAAGTGGTGAATAGTATTTTCTTTTTTTTTTTTTTTTTTTTTGAGACGGAGTCTTTGTCGCCAGACTGGAGTGCAGCTATGCTCATTGCAACCTCTGCCTCCCGGGTTCAAATGCTTCTCCAGCCTCAGCCTCCCGAGTAGCTGGGATTACAGGTGACCGCCACCACGGCCGGCTAATTTTTGTGTTTTTAGTAGACATGGGGTTTCACCATGTTGGCCAGGCTGATCTAGAACTCCTGACCTCAGGTGATCCTCCCTCCTCAGCTTCCCAAAACGCTGGGATTACAGGTGTGAGCCACTGCGCCAGACCCAGAGCAGTTTTAAACCTTTTGAGAATGCACAATGCTTTTCTAAAACTGTGATAAAAGTGCTAGACTTCCTCTCCTGGCTTCATAACCTCTGACACCTACTGAACAACTACTATGTAGCAGGTGGTTTTTATGCAAAATCTCATTTAACCCTCACTGTAGCTTTTAGAGAGGTTAACAAGTGGCATAGTTAGTATTTATTTGAACTCTGGTCAATTGTACTCCAAAGATGATGTTTTTATATTAAGAAAGTGACATCATGATGTGTAAGATAGAACCTGGGAAATGTATAGCAGGCCAAAATGACATGTACTTAGTTAAGATGTACTTAGACATCTAATGAACAAAACTGCTTCAGTCCTTCAGCCTTCTGGAGCCAGCATAGTGCATCAGGTGGAGGGGAAAGAAAGCTGCTTATAAGTGAGCACTAGAGGTGATAGAAGGAGGCGCAACCCACAGCCTGATAAGAGAATCTGGCTCTCTTAACAACTGTTTGATACTCGGAGAAACATGCTGAGAAGAACTGGGTTGATTTAAGTATTAGCAACTTGTGGCAGAAGGTACTCTTTCCCTCTGATCTCTAGGAGGGCTCTGTTTCCTGGGATCTGAGGCTACTCCTGTGCCCACTCTACATGTTTTTGAAAGCTTCCCTTCGCCAGATCATCCTATAGAGTATATGCTGTAAAATTATCCTCATTAGCTCCCCCACCAAAAAAAAAAAAAAAACAAAAAACCAAAAAAACAAAACCAAAAGAACTTATTTTTCTAGTGCCAAACTTTCACTTAGATGTGAGAAATATTATCTGTTGTTAAGTCATACTCTAGTGTGAATGTCTCAGTTTCTTAGGAATTGTTTCACTCTTCTAAATGTCCAACAATGTAGAAGAAAGTGTTTTCAAATTTCAAGTGTTCATAACACACAAACTACAATTAAATCATTTGCTGTTTTTATATAACTAGATCTGGAAGGAGAGTCTTTGTAAACTCCAGACCCCCTTTTTTCTTTCTTTTTTTTTTTTTTTTTTTTTGGGAAACGGAGTTTTGCATTTGTAGCCCAGGCTAGAGTGCAATGGTGGCATCTCAGCTCACTGCAACCTCTGCCTTATGGGTTCAAGCGATTTTCCTCCCTCAGCCTCCCAAGTAGCTGGGATTGCAGGCGCCCGCCACCATGCCCAGCTAATTTTGTATTTTTATTAGAGATGGGGTTTCGCCATGTTGGCCAGGCTGATCTTGAACTCCTAACCTCAGGTGATCCACCTGTCTCAGCTTCCCAAAGTGCTGGGATTACAGGCTTGAGCCACCACTCCTGCCTCTCACCCCTTTTTTGATTAAAGGGAGGCTACCACCAGTTTGCAGCCTTGATGAAGTGTAAAAATCCCTACTGCAAAGGGGAAGAGCCTACCCCACCCACATAGTTCTATTAACTTCATAGGACTCAAATTTCAGGTTCCATCTAGATCAGGCTGTTGGCTTCCAGGTGTCTTATCAGCTGAACTGAATGCCCTAACCTTTGTTAGGGATCCAGTATCTCAGAGTCTCTAAGTTGAAGGTGTCAGGATCCCTACCCAGTTACTTTATTCTTCTGGAGTTAGAGCTTTTTGGCTCATGGCTGATGTAGAATTTCCTACTCTTGACTAGTATAAAATAATCCAAGCACCCTTCCCTGACAGATATTTTAAACTTCCCACCTTCAGTGACTGTCATCTCCATAGCAAAGCTGTTTGTCATTAGGAACTGAGATGTTTAGAAAAGGTATCTAGGCAACAGTGTTAACCAGGAAGTTTTTGTGCCTTCCCTGCTTTTACCCAACTTTGCTTTATTTATTAAAATGTCAAATAGATTACAAATGGAGAGATAGTATAACATAGAGGTTAGGAGGATATACTTTGGGTAAGCAGTTTGGATTTAATACCTGTGTTCCACCAACTAGAAACCATGTGATAGGAAGAGTTATCTGTCTTATCTGTGAAATGGATGGTAATATCTACTTTTTATGATAGTAGAGATTAAATAAGGAAAACTGAGAAACAGCACAGTACCTCAGTATAAAAGTTAGCTGTTGTGTATCATATTAGTTTTGCTTCTAGTTTTAGTGGATGTAACATAAATTGCCAGTGTAGGTTCAGTTTTCATGGTCGTATGAAATTGCAAATTGGTGATAACGTTGCCTGTGAACATCCACAGTAGTGTTTCTCAAAGTGTGCTCTGTGGTTCATCTGTATCAGAATTACTTAGGGTGTGTGGGATATTAAAAAAAAAAATTTGGCCGGGCGAGGTGGCTCATGCCTGTAAGCACTTTGGGAGGCTGAGATCACCTGAAGTCAGGAGTTCAAGACCAGGCTGGACAACATGGTCAAACCCTGTCAGTCAAGCCTGGGTGACAGAGCAAGACTCTGTCTCAAAAAAAAAAAAAAAAAATTGATCTTTGTCTCTAGTTCCTTGCACAGAGATCCTAAAACCCTTGTAATTTCCTGAATGATAGGAGTATCTTCTATTACTCGTTTTGAGCCCATTTCAGTCACAGCTATGTCTACTGTCTGCTCTACTGAGGTCTTAGTTACAGAGTCTCACTTTGTCGCCCAGGCTGGAGTGCAGTGGTATGATCTCAGCTCACTGACAATCCCTGCTTCCTGGGTTCAAGCAGTTCTGCCTCAGCCTCCCAAGTAGCTAGGATTACAGGCGTGCACCACCATGCCCGGCTAATTTTTGTATTACTATTATTTTTTTTTGAGACGG